GGAGGAGGGAGGGAGGGAGGGAGGGAGGAAGAAGTGGTTTTGCTTCGAAATCAAAACCTAACCTATATAAGCGAACGTAGGGACCCCTAGAAGGAAGAAGAAGAAGAAGAAGAAGAAGAATCGGAGAGATATCGGTGTTCAGAAGCGAACCCTAACGTTACGTAAGAGAAGAAGTGATGCAACCTACCTCCCACCACTCACCTCCCGCTACCTATCCGCCCACCTCCTCGACGTTATGCTACGCGCCCTGCTTACATGTAATGGAGATTTTGTTTTTTGTTTTTTTGCTTTTTGGTTTCGTTCTTTTTCGTTTCCGTTAGGGTAGACGCAGCGGTGAGTGACACATATAATAATAATAAAAAAAAACACCTAGGAGAACAAAAACGCGCCCATACGCAACCAGCCGATGTGGCAGAATGCTACACACACGTGAGCTCGAATCCCATCCCAGTAAAAGAATCAGATGGATACAACAAGGTTAGGGGCTACACGATGGTAATAACCATATGCCCCGCGACACCACCATGGTAATATAACCATATATATGTCGCCACAGTGGGGGACAAGGATGGCGAAAATGAAGGAATTTCGTCTATAGAGTAAGGGCTACCCAGTAGGTCCCACTTGCTATAGAGTAAGGGCTAGGTCCCACTGACCGTAGATAGCAAAGATCAACGGGCGAAATCTCCTAATTTGCGAAAGTGGGACCTTGCCCTAAGAAATAACAAGCTGCTGCTGCTGCTGCTGCTCCGCTGCAAGACTCACACTCACAGGATAAAGAGTGGTTCCTGCTCACTTGAGATTGCACAAGACGTTTTCACGTGCAATTGCAAGGCGGGATGAAAGCACACGACGCCGGGGGCTGAGGGGCGGGGGGGGGGGCAGGGAGGGCCAGGGGGTAGAGGAGGGAGAAGAAGGAACACGAGATGCATTTACGAAAGTGCTAGTGTGAGTATGCCCGCAATTTTTATTTTATTTTTTTATTTTTTTTGTATGCCCGCAATTTCAAACAAAGAGAAAGCACACCCAAAACTTCACGAGTGCGTGCAATGTTCTGTGAGCATGTAGTGTGAGTATTGTCTTTTTATGCAATGTTATAGTGTATAGTATAGTCTTTCACTATTTTGTATGCAATGATCTGTCTATAGATGTATAGAGCGACCTAAACATCACTCGCTCCCCGGCCCAAAATCGACTTCCCGCCCAACCCTCCTCCCTCCCACAACAAACCTACAGACCCTCCGCATCCCTGCCGCACTTTTTTTTTTTTTTTTTTTTTTGCTATACCCAACCCAACATGTATATTGCTATTATGTATCATCCAGCGCCGATATCAGTTCGCGACGCTAAGCCTACAGGCCGCGCTCCACCACACAGCACGCGACATGGATTTCGACGGCTTTTGGACTGTATACTTTCAAACAAAATGTTCCACTCGTCAATCCAGATCCAGAGCCGGCTTTCACTCATCCAGAGCCGATATCTGTTTGAGAAGCTGAGTGACTCTATGGGCGTCGCTGCACTACTCTCGAAATGTGGAAAACGAGAGCGAATCTTCTGCTAGAACGTGGAAAGATACACGACCATGATTTTTGTCTTTTGTGCATTTCGAGAGCAGTGCAGCGAGGCCCTATGTTGGTGAATTTCGGATTTTTTTTTTTTTTTTTTTTTTTTTTTTTTTTTTTGAATTTCGGATTTGACATCGGTATAGATGGTTGTTTTGCTATTTTTCAAAAATGCGCTCGTTGCCCCTTCATGCCGAACCGTTGCAGGCTGCCTCTGGGGATGGGTAGGGTAGGTGGCCTGTCCTGTCAGGACAACCATTGGCTGCGGCTACCAGCAATCACCACGGGCCTGATCCTTGGCCTCTACAACACCCTGCACTTTTGAAAAAAAAAAAAACAAAAACAGAACCGTTCCAGGCTACCTACCAGTAGCCCTGGAGTAACCATGGGTCCCGGAATGGGTCCTAGGATCGGTTTGAAACTCTGTTTTCCATCGGCCAGTGCACTCTTCGCAGCCGAACAGCCGGGAGGGGATGCGTTTATACACCGTGGGCATTTTGGTCGGTATTATACTGTTATACCGCGTCAAATGCGGGGACGCAAACGCGGGGACGCAGCCATTCGGGTAGCATGCTTTCTGTTCTAGACAGTAAGCTTGCCAAAGGTCTTATGAAGTGGGGGATGGGCAGCCTTCTGGGTGGTACTGTTCAAAGCCAACACTCTCCCACGCACCACATGCAACCCACTCACACGTGCACTCACACCCCTGTTGGCTGAAGACCTTACTGATACCGACTGGGAGGATCCAGCTCAGGGCGAGAGAGAGAGAGAGAGAGAGAGAGAGAGAGAG